CCCCAAAACCCCAAAACCCCAAAACCCCAAAACCCCAAAACCCCACTGCTATATTTAAGATTGAAACAAATAAGAGAAAATGAAAATGAATACTTTTATTCCTATGGGATTTAACGTAAGCCAAGCTAGGGCAGATCTTTATGTTATAGACACAGATTGGGCAAGTCCAACAAGGTTATTCTTTGATACCTGGATACTTCCTAGTAAGGTAAGCATCTTTTTACCATCTTTTAAACCCAAGAATCAATATTTACCAGGGTTTGGTTGCCAAGAGATTTGTCCAACTTATACTATCTCTAGTTATCCAATGGTCGATTCTCAACAAATGGGGAATCTCAACGATATTCAGGTTGAGAAACTAGCAGAAGATTACTGACTTTGCGAATTGAAAAACCAAGAGGCTGAAGAGAAGTCTGAAGTGAAAGAAAAGACCAAAAAAATTAATGAAGACTTCACTGTGTAAGTGAATGGTTTATAATTTTTGGAATACCTTGTTTATACCAACATTTTAGCTTCCTTCTCTCTAAAACTTCAGGTTTAGAAAAGATTCGAGCTTTTTATATGAAGGAAGCAGTTTAGGATAGATTCAGAAGCAAAAACTAAAATCTATTCCAAATTTATTTTATGAGATTTCATGTTGATTATTTTAATTTATCTAAGAACCCCAAAAGAACTTTTGCCCATTACTAGGCATCTGAATTTATTACTAAATCTCATAATTCCATTATTCGCAGAATTCCTTTGCTTCTTTAGTATTAATTACCCTAAAAAATGGTGTTCTTTTGAAACGACAATATGAATTTCCTCACTCCTTTTGGTTAACCTCATGAGTCTCTTCACTATCATGCCAATCTTTCTCGATTCTTAATGATTTCTTCTTCTTGATTCTTTATTTCACAAGAAAATACTAAGTCTACAATTTTATTAATAACTTACTAAAAGGCAACCTTCTAATTAAAAACAGGATTCATTTGTTATGTATCCATCCAAAAGCTTAAGATCTTTACGAAAGAGTCCCATTGGGCCTCTTTCTTCAAATCTTCAAGTAGAAAGTCCATTCACTAAACTTAGCAAATTTTGGAGATTTTCAAATTTTACCTGAAACCTCCAACATTTGTTATGAAATTATGGAAATAAAGCATGCAAGTTAATATAATTATTAACTTTAAGATTGAAGTAAACCATTTTACTACGACATTTTAATATGAGCTAAAAAGAAGAGTTAGGCTCTATGACCTCAAGACTGAAAGGGTCCATACGATGCTATAGGTTATGAAGAATTTAGTATCCTTCTTTTTCCTATTTGTCTCAGCTGAAATAAACCTCTTTTAATCTGGACAACTTTTCTGACTTATTTCATACTTTCCATAAGTTTGGGAAGTGAAGGCGAAATTATGCAATATAGTAACAAATAAACCTGCTTAAAGTGTTATAGTTTCAACTAGTTTCTAAGCTCACTAAAGGAGACTCATGGTAATAGAAGAATTTAGGAAGCAAACTTATCCTGAACGTTGCTATTATACCTCCTATTGATAAAAACTCTGACTCCTCGAAGAAAAGAGATGAATTATGAATTTCTTCGATTAGCATCAGGAGAGGTTTTTGATAACTTTCCCATATTTAGTAGCGATTATAGGGCGTATCATCTGCTTCTAGCTTTAAATTAGCTAAGTCTCATAAAAATTAAAGATTTTGATAAAAGGAATAACTTAGGTTTATTTAAAAGCATTTGAATATTTTCCTCTTGAGCATATAAATAATCCTATTTATTTTATGATACAAATGCTCATGATAACTCTGAAAAATCTACAGCTTAAGTAGGCAATAACTTTATATATTTCGCTCAAAATTAATAACTCATATAAGCATGTCTGGGGATTATAATGTAGTATAGTAGCAGACCATATAATAATCAGCTAACTTTCGTTCCTGAATCCCTCTAGACTCCAAACTTTCTGTGTTATTTGATCAAAATTCGACAAATAAACAAGGAATTTTAGAAAAATCCTCGCCTTCGGGAACAAATTTTAGGAATCTGTGTAAAAATCTTCATTCCCAATGTAATAAATTTGATCGAAGATAAATAATGTACAAGCATCTCAAATAAGACTCTTCAACTGTTTGCTATACCAGTCCCTGGCTTGGAATATTACTGCTAGAGTACCAGAGAGGGCTTTAATTGAAACAAATTCATAAAAACTCCTTAACAAATTTGGCATCCATCTTTGTTTTGACGAAAAGATTTGTACTCCTCGTTTCCTTTGACTTATACTGGTTTAGAGTTGAAGATGAAAAATTTAAAGAACCTGAGAAGTTAGGTGAGAAGAAGAGAAGATGCTTTAAGACTGAGAAAGATAACGATGTCCTTGAGCCATTCCAATTCAAGTATATCCATGTTGGCACTTCCAGGTACAAAAGAAAGATCATTCAGTGTCTTTATGAGGGCTGAAACAAGACATTTGGCAAGAGTTGGAACTTTAGAGATCACGCACTTATGCACGAAGGCCATAAGCCTTATAAGTGATCTATATGTGGCAAATGTTTCACTCAGAAAGGCAATATGAAGAAGCATGTTAAGCTTCATGAAGGAAAGGATGTCACTTTGAGGAAGTCATTTAAATGAATCTATTGCTCGAAGTCTTACACAGAGAGGTATAACCTAAGAGTAAGTTAGAGCGAAAAAGACTGATAAGTTCTTCGCATGAGCTTCATCAACACTAAAAATCTCATATTTTGAGCAAAAGATATGAGCATTTCTAATATACCTACCTTTTACCAAATTTTGTTAGTTTAGATCGATTATAATCTTGAGTCTTAAAATAGAAATTCTTTATGACCAGAAAAGATGAAGAATACTCCACTAATAATACTTTTCTAAACTCCTACAGATTATGCTAATAATTCTTATAGAGTCATCTAAAGAAAGTGCATAAAGTAACAAAAGGTAACAATTTTCTTGCTAATTTTCATAGCCTCCAAAGAAATCGCAAAGGTAAAATTCCCCCATCCAACCACCACACTTTCCACCCTCACTAATCTCCAAATTTCCCCAATATCCTTATCTCTTCATTCCTTAATTTCCGATCATCCCTGTATTCACCACCCATACAAAATCCCCTATTTCTTCACCTTATCTCCAAACACTCAGTCAGTCTCTAAGCAGCTATTCTCTATTCCTCCCATAAACTATAAGCCACTAGCAAGAGCTTGGCTTGCCGGCCAAGCACTTGTTCTGTAGCGTAAGGTTGCTGAATTTGACCGATGTTTTGGAGGGGGGAATGAAGGAGTGGGGATTTGAGGGTGAATGGTACCACCCACACAACCCATCCCCTATTCCCCTTCCTTCCTCCCAAATCCCCACTTGAACCTACCCCATCCAAACCTCTTCCAGCCAAGTCCGATCACTCCAATATAGGCACTAGATTACAAGTACGCTAAGACTCCGACCCTGCCGGTGGATAAGGAAACTTAATTTCTTGCATAAAAAGTTTTAATGGACTTAAGTGGGACGGGGAAGGGAAATAAGGGAGGTAAAGCTATTTCTTTGGGGTAAATGAAAGTCTGAATTAGAATGATTTATTAACCGACAGATAAAACCTTCTTATATATTATTTGGGAATGCATCGGCTTCGAGGTTTCTCAGAAGAGAAAGATATATGAAGCATCTAAATGTTGTAAATTTTAATTGTTCAAACAATTTCGCCCACCGAAAGGCAACCATAATCCCTTATGATTTTCCTACCTATTTTAAGTGCTCCATATTTCTGATCAAGCATTCTCACAAAATTTGTATTGCTACAAAATGCTCTGAAGACGCTATTAATTATCAAAAAACTCAAGAAACTTCTTCAAATAACAGGCTCAAATGCAGACACAAAACTTCAAAATAAACTCATAAGGTTCTAGAGCTATAAAAACTACACATAAAACCAAAGAATATGAATGCCATGCTTTCTGAATTATATAATCAAGTTTCTTTCAACTAGTATCACTAGCTTTGGGGTTTTGGGGTTTTGGGGTTTTGGGGTTTTGGGGTTTTGGGGTTT